CGTTAAAAAGTTAGCATCCCATTTTAAAAAAATTATTAAGAGAACTCTTCGTATCGTCAAAAAGAAGCAGGAATTATCATCAGAACTATTGTATCTAAAAATTAATTTTTCAAAAATTTTTAATTTTTTTTTTATTATTCAAAAATTTTTTTTACATATCAGGAACTCTAGGCAATCGCAAATTGAAGCTACTAAGCCGCTCAGAACTATTCTACTTCGAAAAATTAGCACCCCATTTTTAAAAAATGTAAAAAAAATGTTTATTGAGCGGAACTCTTGTTATTAACTATTAGGAACTCTTCGTCTCGTCAAAAGGAAGTGAGAACTATAATCAGAACTCCTGAATACTATAGTTGGGGTGGGTGCTAACTTAACATACCCTAGAAATTTAACTACGGATTTGAAGATGATTTTGTTGGATATAATATTTAAATAATATTACTCATGTGAGATAGAATGTCAATTTTTTTTTGTAACATTGTATTGGTTGCGTTCAGCAGAACTTGCCGCTTTGCAACTGTTGTAAAATTTTTGAATATGGTTGGTTCTTGCTTTGGATTCCTTATGGATCTAAATGTATAAACCAATCATACTGAAGAATTTTACAACAGTTGCAAAGCTGCTTTCTCTGCTGAACGTAGCCATTATCATGTTTGAGTGTCGTAGATAATTATTTTTATGGTTCAACGTAATTATTTTCAGATTTGTACATCTAGTTAAATTTTCCGATGTTTCAGCAAAATAATTTTTTCCATTGCCAACAAAATTATAAGCTTGATGAACAATAGACAAATTTAAATTCGTTTAGAGTAGTAACTGTAACATTTTATAATTGTGTACAAAAATAGCAAAATAATTTTATTGGATTCAAAATAATTTGTAAGATGTTCAAGCTAGTGGCTTATAAAATGTAAAAATATGTTCTCACAGAATGCTTGAGTTTCTTTTATTAATTATTATAATCCAATTAAATTATTTTCAGATAATACTTCAGTAAAACTATTCATTCCGTTTAGCAATGATAATAATATGAACTGCCAACAATTAAGTCTGAATAACAGATAGGTTTAAATTCATACTAATTCTAACATTTTACAAGTGTATGAAGATTGCAAAATAATTTTGTATTTTTTCTGTTCAGTCACGCGTATAATATCCTCGAGTTTACGCTAAGCCAAGAATCTCGCCTTTTTTCTTGCTTGACAGACAGTCGTGACTAATTGAGCGATATTCTTCCGCTTGTGATTAATTGAAAATTCTTTGAAAATTTTGAAATATTTCAAGGTGTGCTTTTCTTAGAAAAATAATTATATATTAATAAGTACTGATTAAATATTTATTTTGAGTAAGAAAAGCACTGTTGTTCGATGCTTTTAATATTTAAAATAAATAATTTTTAATATTAAATTGGCTATTGTTAATTGGATTTCTGTAAAAATTGGCGATCTGTATCGTCAGTTCTGCAGTCCCTCCAGTTTGGCCTTTTTCCCACGATGACACTCTCGCGACAATCGCTCGGGCGATTCGCGTGCCGGGATTCCTTCGCACTCGCGGTCGCTTTACTCACTTGGACGATAATTGATACCGAGCACGTGCTTACCAGTAATCGTCACGCGCTCGAGCCAAGATGGATCGCCCCGTCGTCGACTACTTGGATGACCACGCAAAACAGCCATATAATAGCGTGTATATAATAGCGTGGATTTTATCGCATTGAGACGCACGCGATAAAATTCAGGCGAAATTCTTTAAGAAATCCCTCTTTGAAGACACGCCTCGTCACAGTGGATTAATTACCGCTCTCATTATGCCTCACATCTTTGTATCTCCATTAGAGATAGCTGGTACCTAACAATAATCCGGCTGGTTCAATCTACATAGCAATCTGATCATGAAAAGTAACTTCACATAGTTACGTTGGAGTCTTTAATCGCGCTGCTTAGTGAATCACGAGACAAGATACGCCGACTATAATTTATATGGCTTACTATAGACAAGTGTTTAGATGTGTCTTGTGGCTTATTACGACCACTTATTTTGCTCAGCTTCTTTTCTCGCATCGTCGTTTGCGTAATCGTGACGGAAGCGCGGCAAGAGAGCCAAGATAAAATATGTATATTTTTTTTTCATCGTGGCACGTTCACGGTGGTTAATTAATCTCGAAATGTTTGCCGAGTGTATTGAGGTCACGTCGAAGTTAAAATGATCGAACGAGATAAAAGGGGATTTTTCAAGCTAAAATCAGTTTGGAAGCTTTCGTGGCAGGCAATATTCTTCGTGAGCGATGCGAATTAAGTGGATCGCGATTGTTCAGCTGGAGTCGTTGAAGGGTTCAACGCGTACGACGACGGTGGGCGTCGACCTTGAATCAGCTGTTTGTTCTCAATGACGACGAGTATATTAATACACCGCGTGTCCTGCAGTGAAAGACGTTGTACTCCCGGGTTGCGTGGCGACGTTTTGTGGAACCTGTCGAGTACGTTATCGTGTAACGAACCTCCGCGAAAGTCGCTCTCCTTATCCGAAAACACCTGTTGATTGAAGCGGGAATGATTTCGATAAATATTTTTCGTGTTAAGAAACAGGGAAACTTTTATGTAAAAGTTATTAGCGCGTTAGTGTTATAGTTGGAAGTTTGTAACAAGAAGGATGTAATATTTACGATCGATGAGAGGAAGTGATCATTTGACAACATATATATATATATTTATTATTATATAATAAAATTGATGATGAGTCAAGCAACGAGTAATTAATTAGGTCAAAGAGTAAAACTAGTTTATTAAAACGTCAAGAACGGACTAAATCTATTAAACAGGGAATTAGAGAAGGGATTAAATCTAATTACTCATTAATATACAATGCATGGAACTTTTCAACTATTCTAACAGTAAGTCTACTTTAACTAAATTATAAAATAAGTTAAGAGTTTGGAAACAAATTGATTTTCATTAAATATTATATGGAGTATTTATACTATTTGGATAAATCTGGAATTTTCAGGAAATTTTTTTTATTCTTTTGAAAATATTAGAGATTTATATTATATATGTATATACATGTTTATATATTGTACACACACACACACACACAAACACACACACACACACACACACACACACACACTTATATATATGTAATAAATTTTTCCTATGTTTTTATAGAGTTTGCAATTCCAATTGCAGAAAATGATAAATATAGTCTCGTGAATTCCTGTTTTTTTACATTGATAAAAATGATGTTATATCAACAATGCCATTGTAATTGAAAACAATTTTGTTGATTCAATAACGGTTTAATAAATAAAATTTTATTAAAACAAGAGTATGATTATATTTGTTTTATTAGTAGCGTAATTCAATTAACAATAGTATTTTCAATTACAATAATGCTGTTAACATCACAACTTTATTTCAGTATACTAATTTCCAATACATAGTTTGCGTTATTTGTACTCTTGTCTATTTATATGTTGCATTATCATTTTATTTTATTTGAAATTTTGAACAAAATTACTTGGAAAATTCGGAAATTCTCAAGAAAGTTTTCTACGAGATTTCAATAAATACCTATAGTTATACAAAATACTTATAATATAAAATGATATATAATATATTACATATATAGTCGTCAAGAGATTCGTAATATTTTTATTATAAAATTTGATATTTTTTAATTTTCTATTATGTTTATTTTTCTACTTTTTAATTATAATATAATATATAAAATATTAAATTAAAAAAATATATTTACAAAAATAGAAAAATATAATTATAAATCTCTTTTTTTATATGTATTTATATATTACATATATGTTATATTATTATATGTATATTTTATACATATACGTATATGAGCCAGGATATTTCCATTATCATCCATATGCAACAAAATCACAATTATGCCAAGCAGAGAAGATTCAATTGTTAGCAGATATTTTATAGGAATACGGATGGATGTAGCGCGCTGGATACGTCACGACATTAATTGTCGTGGTAATTCTAGTAACGGATTACCCAGTAACGGATTTTACACATTGTTTTTGTGACATATTGCCGCGTGGCGTACGATAAGACCTTTGTGGTAAATTTCCTTGTGATACTTTGGAGATAAGACGTCGATATAAAATCGCGGTTATCGGCTCTTCACGGGACATTTTACCGCGACAGTATCGTTTTTAATTATGCGTTTTTTTTCTTTTATTAGTAATATTGCATTATTCCGAGAAATATGTAAACTCCAGATCAAAAGAGTTTGAAAACATTTTTTATTTGAATCACTCTCAAATATCTATCACAACATATTTTTTAATAATAATTTTTTTAGAACCAATAATGTGTATTACGGAATCTAAAGAATTATTGTTACAGAAACTCATTGTTATGAATATTTGAGTAAGTAATCTCAGCAATGTCAATTTTTAAAAAGTGTTTTCAAACTATAATCTGGAAACGTACAAAGGTATGAAGAAAATATGATGTATTGAAAAGTAGAAAAGGAGCAAGTTAATTTTTTCTCTCTTTTGTCTTTCTTTCTCTCTTTCTCTCTCTCTCACACACACACACACACACACACACACACACATACATTGCCTTTTGTCTTCCCTCTTCGGGAACGAATCGAGAACTGTGACACTTCTGAGAGAAATTTATCAACGATAAAACGTTTTTTTTTTTTCAACTTCGCTCGCTCGTTCGCGAGACGTTTCGCATGATCCGTCACGTGTCTACGTCTGCCAGGCCGCTCGGGTCCACAAACCGAATAGCGTTTTACGTCACGCGCCAGCACGCAGTAAACAAGTAATTCGCGCACGACGAGCTTGGCGTTCGGCCAAAGAACCGCTAAAGTTCCAACCGCTGTGCCCTTACACGATCTTGCGTACAATGCGACGTCTGGTCCATGACTCGCAGATGCGCTCTCGCCCGCCGGTTGCTCTCATGACTCGAATCGCACTTCGCAGAATCCACAGCCATTATTTTAATTGCTCCGCTTCCCGCGGTACACATCCTCGAGACACGTTCTCAGACAAAGAGAAGATAGATTAGAAATCCAAAAGGGGCTTAGAAGAAAAAGAGAGAAGGAGAAAGAGAGTTGCTGACAATGAGTGTGTATAGGGATAAGCGGTATGTCGCTGGCGCATTGCGGTAAGTGGTAGGTACGCGCTCTATTTCGCGATCGCATCGACGTAGTTTAGCGTATGTATGTATGGGAAACTATATAAGAGCGGGAGAGAGAAGCTCGACCTTGCGCGCGAGAGCGATAATTCTCGCCTTCTCTTTCAGCTTCCTCGATGGAGGGCACCGGCAACGACAAGCAGAACGAGTCGGACGAGTGCGACGTAAACGGGGACAATAGGAAGCAGGACGACGACGATTCGACCGGGCAGGAGGACGTCGATCGGAAGATGAAGGCGGAGGACAAACGTGAGTCTCTAGAGAACATGAATTTGAAGAACGAGATGAAGACGCTGAAGAAGACGCTGTCGGCCGACGATGAAGAGGCCGACGAGGAGGACGAGGGCAGCAAGGAGTCCGCCGACGAGGAGGAGCGCAAGGAAACGCAACCAGGTAGCGAAAAGAAGGAACAGGAGTCGTCCAGCGACAGCACCTCTACCAGCACCACCGACGACGAGTCTGAGACCAGTTCGGAAGACAAGACGGAGCCGTCTAAGCCGGAAACGGCCCAGACGACGCAAACGGAAGCGACTTCACGAGAAGAATCGAAGGAGAGCACGTCCAAGAACGAGGACACAACGGACGACAGCGATATCGAGGATGATTTGGTCTCGGCGATCAATTACAACACAATCACCTCTTTGGCGGCGCTCAAAGATATGTTACAGTCCTCCGGGGAGGACTCCGACGGTGTGGATAGTTTTTTTCACCATTACTTCCTGTCGCACGTAAACCGGCTGCCGTCGAGGAACCAGACACATAGTCCATATCCCTGGGGCAGGAGATTGTCAGAGTGTCGAGAAGAGGACGAGTACGAGACTGAGGAAGGTGAGAGAAGGCATGTCTTTGTCACTTTGAAGAGAGTTTTTGGGAGTTAATTACCCCAGATTTAACCGGATTCCCGCGGACAATTACGAGAAAAGCTTGCAGTTACGAAATATAAGCTATTGCGAGAAGCTCGTCCAATGAAAGCTAAGATTAGCTTAACGTGTTCGCGTTTGGCAACGCGCGGCGCGAAAAGTCACTCCACTTAGGTAACGATCGCTTTTAAGCGTATTTATAACGAGTATTTCTCTCCTCTCTTTGGAATCTAAGAGATACGATCCTTAATCTTTTACAAGGACATAATCGACTTTGACATGCTTTAGACCAAAATTTGGAAACATTTTTGAAAAATTGACATTTTTGGATTACTCTTATAATATTCAAATATTTATAATGATCTATTTTTTGAACAATACTTCTTTAGATGTATTAATTGATTTTCAATCTGAAGAATTATTCAAAATAATAAAAGAATTCATAAAAATAAACAAGATGCCAATGTGAGCCGACACAGGTTGGTGTGCACTTTTCTTACAATTTATTAAAAATAAATAAAACGTATACGTTTCGACTTATGGTCAAGATCCTCCTCAGTACAAAATAATATAAAACTAACAATTAAACACAAAATTACGATTATGATGATAGCGCATACAACTGTAGTTAATTAAATTCAGGTAGTAATGTCTAAATTCAAGCCAAAACTTGTTCATCAAATTGTTAAATTTAATGATCGTCAAGCTTGGACGATTTTTTGTATAGTTGTAGTACAGGTTCCATTAGACTGCTCAGTTTAATGAAATTTAAATGAGAATTATCAGACATAACTGTTTGACAGACAGATGTAAAAAATAAAAAAAATCTATTTTTAATCAAAGTAAATCTTTATACTTGATTATGTTTGTATGCAAAAAATAAATACACTTGAAACTATATTTTTTAGTTCTATAAATTGCGCGTCGATTTAGTTTGTGATTGTAAATGAAGTTTATGCCGTCTCCTTGAAAAATAACGTTCTCTTACTAGTTATTGCGACAATTATCTTCACATGCCTCGGTAATCGAATTAATAAGACACTCGCAAAGAATGAGAAAGATTCAGGTTTAAATTCCAACTAAGATCATTTTTTGCAATAAGTTCTTTACACTGTTTTAAGATATTCATTGGCATTATTATTACATTGATTAGCAAGGTAATTCATAAAATTATTTCTACACGCAAAAAAAGGTTTTGTTGAAATATCTAAAAATTCAGCTAGAGACAGATTTGAAAAGAAAATTGGATCATGAAAATAATTATCTAGAACGCTCAAATTAGTTGTTAGAATGTCAAAAATGTTTGCAGCGTTTCTTTATAATTATTTTGATAGTTTATTAAAATTATTTTCAGATCTGGATAGCTTTTTTATTATAAATATTTTAACAAAATTTTTTCTATGCTGCTTTAGTTTATGATTGTGTTTCAAGCCTGTTAAATCAAATTGACGTTTATAAAACTGAACAATGTATTTGTAAATTTGTATATAAACATAATTAAATATCAAGATCAGTTTTGAATAAAAATAAGATCTTTGATTTACTCTTATCAATCTAAGTTTCACTTATAATTGAAGAATTATTGATACTTAAGTAAGTATATAACGTAATTCCAAAAATGTCAATTTTTTCAAAGTATTTTTAAACTTTTTTTTACCTGAAATACATATATAAAGTATTAAAATATACGATATTCTTTATCTTACGCGTTTCTTTACTGCCATCATGTTACTGTCTTAATCACATTACTATTTTAATCGCGTTACCATTTTAATCACATTACGAAAGATTTGTAATTGTACTCGACGTTTTTCTATTCTTGCAAATATTGCTTTTAATAATTTAATAGCATCGATCGACTTTTATCGATACGCAATAGTCTTGTCGCGTCACCGCGAATTTTCCGACGATCCAACGGGGTCACAGACGCGCCTTTGTGCCACTCCTCGACCTTGGAACCGCACACGTGAATTGTATAACGAGAGCTTTGTCACGTTTCCATGGCGTTTCAGAAGCTCTAATCGCGATGGCTTTTACAGGGAAGAACGTTGATAGCCCGAGCGTTGATAGCAAAAAGGATACATCGAAGACACAAGTTGAAAAAACGGACAGCGTCTCCTCTAAGACATCGAAGGCATCGAGTCCGTCATCTTCGGAGAATTCTAGTTCGGAGAAGATCGACGAGAAGTCTCTAGCGACGTCCAGCGTGTCAGATGCGAAACCACCATCACCGTCGTTAACAGCGACAACGACGACGACGATGACGACGACGCCGACGACAACGACGATAACGTCGACGTCGACGTCGACGTCGACGACGGGCGCAACTGTGGCGACGACGACAGTCGCGACATCGGTTTCCGGTAGATTTACAACATCTACCGTGACGTCGCCAACGTCGACGACAAAGCCTCCACTACGAAGGCGGCATACCACTGGCCCAGGCATGACCTTCCCCGCTACGGATCCCCCTTCGTATTCCACCAGCATGACCTTCTCGAGGACCAGTCCGTTGCCCAGCCCGCATTTCGACAAACGGTTCTTTGATAGTAGCTTGATCGAGATGAAAAGTCAGGCAAGCAGCACCAGCACTCTCGATTATGATTCCACGGAGGAGGTGTGGGTGCGCAGGATGGATCTCCTGCAAGAGAGGAAACGACGGGTGAGTGAGCTATTATCTCAAAAATTAACCCGCATGATATTAACGAGACGCGTCAGGAATTCTGCTGCTTTTAACGCTCCGGATGCTACGAAACTTTAATGACTACCTAGGAATTATCTGATATTGTAGTAATACTTGTTGCTTGTGTTGGTGAGGTAGAAAAACCATACTGAGTATTTACTCATGGAAGCACATTGCTAAAATAGAGTAGCAAATATAATAGAACTGAATGTAAAATAACTAACGTAAAGAACCTATAATTTTATTTCAACAAATGAAATTAGTTTTTTTACAGTCGTTTTTTTTGCTGTCGGTTTGTTATACACGTTATATATTTAAAAACGAATATAAACTTTTTAATAGAATTTGACACGTGTAATCGCTTGAGTGAATTGAACAAGTGCCATTTCGAAATTATCAAACCGATGGCTGCATTTAACAGAAAAAGCAGCTTTGTAACTGTTTTAAAATTATTAGATAAACATGCTCGTATATTAAAAAAGGTATATGAAAATAAAATAAGTTATTTGTTATAAAATTCTTTAATGTGATTAAAGGTTAATGTGATAAAACGTAGTCTGGTCCTTAGTTTGCGACTAAATCTAATTGTAAGTACATAAACGAATCATATTAAAGAATCTAACAGTTGTAAAGCTGCTTTTCTGCTGAACGCAGCTAATATTGTTGATATTTTAATTTGTATACGTATAAAACAAGCGCGCATTCTTTTTTTAGAGAGAGAGAGAGAGAGAGAGAGAGAGAGAGAGAGAGAGAGAGAGAGAGAGA